ATAACATAACATAACATAACATAACATAACATAACATAACATAACATGATCTCTGCTGGCACCAGGCGTGCACGTGATGCACATACAAGCGTGTAGGCAAAAGTCATATAAGTAAATAAATCAATCTTATAATAAATAAATAAACAAATAACATTTTTTTTAATGTCTGCTAATGAAACGAAAACTCCTGGCCAACGAAAGGCTACTGGGTATTATCAACAAAATGGGAGTCCAAAGTCATCAGTGTGTGCCGAGGAGAGAGACAGTGGGGGGACCTACTATGAAGACGCCACGTGCTCAGCCCCACTAATCATGCCTATACTTCATTTTAGTCAAATGTCTCCCATAAACTTTTTTTTCATATTATGAAGAAATAAATAACAACCTGATGCCTTAAAATTTATACTTTGTGTCAGTATTAATAAACAATAAATAAAGAAAAAACAAAGTTAGATATTTGTTAATAAATTCCTCAAATATGGGCAAGTTGACACCTGTGCCAGGACTTCAACCCTGAAAAACATAAATATTACACTCACACTCTAGAGTTAGAATGTTCCACCTCCACCTGATTTAAAGTTATTTAGATGCTCTGTGCCTCAGGTTCCCCATCTGGAAAATGGGGTCAATAGTACTTACTCACAGGTTGTTGTGCAGATGATACAGCACCTAGCCATGACTTAGAACAGAGCTGAGAGCACAATGAGCACTCACTGGGCACCAGCAGTTACTACTAACAACGACGAAGAAAACCAGGTTAACAGACTCCAAGGAAAAAATAGACACTTAAGACATGACGTAAAGACAGCAGGTAATGAAATTCAACAGACGCTTTCCTGACCCACTTAAAGCAACGTCTTCTAACTTATTCCAAAGATATGATTCCACTTATTTTGCAAGGGAAAAGAAGTGTTAAATTCAAGATACAACTACTGAAGAGTGCAGACTTTACACCCCAATGGGAAAAGAACCCTTATTCTCCCTTGTCTTCATGCCCTATGTGATCCCTAAATAGGGATGTATCTAAGAGGGACCTGGTTATCTCACTGCTTGTAGTTGATCCCAAAGGCCTATTATCTTAGAAAAACACTGAAAATGAAATGAAAGTTAGAAATGGTGGTGTATGCTACTCTCAGACGGGCTCAAAGGGCTGGGTTAGGAGCTTCTTATATTAGGCCCACGGGTTCAAGGTGAACCTGGGTCACTCCTTAAGCTTTGTTCTTCTTGGGTTGTTCCTGTTAGGAAGGAAGAAAACAGGGAGGAGAAGGCAAAGAGAAAATGAAACATGACAACTGGCAACTGGAGGTAAAGGTAAAGGCAGCTGAGACCTAGGTCTTAAGAACAAAGTAGGAGCTGGAGTGACGGCTAGGTGGGTAAAAGCACCACTGCCTTCCCAGGGGACCTGCATTCTGTTCCTAGTTCATTCCATCTGAGCAGCTCGCACAGCTTGTCCCTCAGGTTGTCTTCTGGCCTCCGTAAGCCAAGACATGGCTACCCTCACACACATGCATAGTCATACACAAGTAAAATTAATCTCAAAAAACAAATATCAAAGTTGCCTAGCACTGTCCTACAGAATCAAACAATTCCCAAGTCAATTAATTGAAAATAGTTAAAACTAAGTCTTTTTCATCAGCAAAATTCCTATCTTCAGAGGTTTTGGGTGCTTGTACTCATCTCTCCAGAGTTTATTTTATGAAGAACAAAGAGCAAAAAGCTGTAAAAGAAATAAACAACAAAAACATCACAGAGGCAGATGAGAAGCCAAGTACATGGACACAGCTTTCCACTCTAGACCAATGGGACAGAGAGTGCAGGCAGTTAACACCACACTGCCCTTCTGCCTGCTCATTCTGATTATAAAATTCTCAATTTCAAAGAAGAACTCAGAAAAGTTCAATTGTTCAAAATTTAAGTTTCACTCTGAATAGGGATAAAAATAACTTTTCTTTTTTTCTTCAGAGCTGGAAATGAAACCCAGTGCCTCACACATGCTAGGCAGGCACTCTACCACCAACCTACACCCTCAGCCTGATAGTAATCTTTTTAAGCAAAAGAAATACTCTCACCAAGGAGTAAATGAGGATGCGTGTCACAAAGCCACCAGCAGAAGAGCCATCCACATCGCACATTCCACTGACAATTCACATAGAAGCCGGCCAAATTCGGACTCAAGGAGTTGCCAACTTACATGTGAAAATGCCACTGAGAACAGACTAGAACGAAATCAAGAGAAGCTTTCTGGGTATCGGCATGCAAAAGAAGGCGTCACTTCTATTAAGCAGCTCGCATTCAAAGCCTAGGCTACTTACAAACCATACTCTGCTTGGATTTGCCTAACACAAAAAGCATGCACAAACGCATGCCATTCCCTTTACTATAGATGCTGCTCCTGTATCATCCAGTTTATTTGGATATACGGGCAAATTAAAAATAAAAAACAACGACACACACACAACCATGCCTATTTACCTTGAATGGGATAAGAATAATGTGCTGGGCTTGGCTGGCTTGTGGTTAACCCTGTAGTGCAGGTAAGAACACTGTGTTGACTTGGAGATGGAGTCTGAATTAAACCACTTTCAGGTTTCATACCTGGCCACAGTGCACCTGAATCAGATAAAGTGGACCAATTACAAACAACGCATGGGGCTGAGGAACACAGCTATGCTTTAAATACCAGCTGGCAGGTTTCAAGCCGAAATCTTAAAGCAAGTTTGCTTGTAGGAGAAAATTACTCCACTTACAATACACCACAAGCAAACATATTTCCAAGAATTCGAGCATGGGGCCACAGGAACAAAACCTTGGCCAAGAGCCCAACAGTAGCATGTATGTACCTTTACCTCAAGGGTTGCAGCAAGTGACCAAGATTCAGAAAAGAGTACACGCCGGTTGTGGTGGCGCACATCGGTAGATTTGCTGAAGGAGGCAGAGGCAGAAACGAGTCCTCTAAACCAGAGCGTTTGTCAGAACTAACATCGTCTAATGAGAAGTTCAAATTGGCAAGGTGGGAAATAGTCTATGTGAGTTAAAATTCACTTACCCATAGAATAAGCAAGTTTTCTAAATGCCTTCGTGACAGCTTTGTTAAACTGATTATTTTATAAATGTTGTTTCCTAGATTAGGAAAGGCATGCCAGCTTTTCAAAACAGATTAACAGCATCACACAGGCCCCAGATGTGGTTCAATTGGTAAAGAGCTTGCTTAACATATATAAAGCCCAGGTTTTAATTCCACCACATAAAGTGGGCATGTCTACAGATGCATGTCTATAACCCAGCACTCAGGAAGAAAAGGTAGGAGGATCAGAGTTTTGATGTCATTCCTGGCTACCCAGCAACTTTAAGGTTATTCTTGGCTACATGAGACCGTGTTTAAACAAACAAACAAACAAATAAATAAATATAATCTATAAATACACACACACATATATGTTAGCTGAGTGGTGGTGCTCAGCAGGCTGATACAGAAGACTGTGAATTCAAGGCTGTCTACACTTTATAACATCACACCATCTAAAACAAAACAAAACAAAACAAAAAACACCTTGAAATATGTAACTTAGGAAAAAAGTTATACATAATTCTATCATCCAAACATCCAAACTTAACTACTATTAAAGGATCACAGAAAAATTACCCATAGTTCTCAGGGCACCCTGCTCTATCACTCTCTGAGACAGGGTGTCTCACTGAACATGGAGCTGGGATCACAGTGACCCCCTGTGCCTCTGGGCCCAACCCCTGATGCAAGGTTGACGGGTACACTCACTGCTACACCCAGCTTTTTACACGGGTGCTTGGGATCTGGACTCATATCCTCACTCAGGCTTGAGGAGCAAGCACTCTTTCCCACGGAACCATCTCATTGGGCCACTATTTTATGTTTTTACATTTACACTTAACAAGACTCGGCGCTGTGATTCTCCGTGGTTTTGTTACACTTATTATCATTTACATGTTACAGTAACTTCTGTATTTATTGTAAGCAATGTGATTGCATTTCCCAAGTTGGTTTAGACCCTAAAGAACCCGATTTGTGAACATGCTTACTCAGACACGGCATTAAAGCAACATCTCACCAACACCAAAGCATCAACAAGAATGTCTGTTGGCCTTCTTACTTAGCATTTCACTCTCTGCGGCAAACTTTTACCATGTGCACCAGTCTTCCTCAGCCCTGAGATTACAGGCATGTACCATCATGCCAGGCCAGAAACTCAAATAGATTGCTTTTTTTTTTTTTTTTTTTTGAGGAAAGGAGGAATAAAAGACAATATGAAAACTGCCTTTAGCATCCTTGTAGCTTCTGTCCTTCAGACATGTGAATATACTTCTTTAAAGGCACCCTGTGCAGAAGTCCTTCTACTAAGTCATGTGACTAAACGTTGAGTCCTTTAGGACTATCACACAGAACATAGGAGGAAAGCAAACCATGGTTTTGTTTTCTTGTTTTAAATGCAGAGTGTGTGCATGTGCACTCTCACGAGCTCATATCAAGGTCTGAGGAGAGTTTTCTCTGCTTCTACCACGCAGGATCAGGAATCAAGCTCAGATCATCAGCCTTGTGCAGGCACCTTTACCTGCTCAGCTATCTCACCAGCTTTTCTTCATTCAGTCAGTCCTTTATTCATTCATTAACTTACTCAGTGACTTTTTTTTTTTTTTTTTTTTTTGAGCCAGGATCTATCTAACTACATAGCCCAGGCTAGTCTTAAATGTATGTCCTTTGCTTCCCCGACCGCTCCCCCCCAAAGTGACTCTATTTGCGTGCTACATCTGGTTTAAAACCTCAATTTTTTGTGTCTGCATGTGTATAACTTTTTAGTTAGTATACAAATGGGTTTCACTGTGGTATTTTCATGTATGTGTCATGCTTTGTGCTCATTCACACCCCCCCACACACACACACACCTGCCCACCTCCTTTTCCATAGTCCACTCTGCTTGGCATCTCACCAGATAATTCCTTTGGCTTTCTTATCACATGCACTCCATAACCTTCTCTTTTACCTGTTCCCTTAAAATCTCTTCTTCCTCTTCCATGACTTTCTAGTTATAAAATCCCTCCCTGCTTATATACAATGTGAACCTAAGTCCACAGACAAGAAAACATTTGGTGTTGTGAGTTTGGCTTGTTTTGCTTAACATAATCATTTCCAACTTCAGGTATTTTTCTGTAAATGTCATGACTTCATCTTTCTGGGTTTTCTGTTTCTGCTGTTTAGACCCTGAATTCCCTCCTGATCCTATTGCCTCTATTTCAGAGTGCCACCACACCTGGCTGCAATCCTGGTGATGGACATAAAGGCAGGTTCCATGTCCAGACCATTGTGAATAGTGAAGTAATAAACACGGATATTCAATGATCCCTGTGATAGGTGACTTATTGTCCTTCAAACATAAACCCAACATGGTGCAGCTAGGCCACAAGGGTGTTCTCTTCTGATCTTTTTTGAAAAGCTCCACAATGGCCACACAAATATATATATATATATATATATATATATATATATATATATATATATATATATATATATATATATATATATATATATATATATATTTTTTTTTTTTTTTTTTTAATATAAGGGGTTGGTAATTTGGCTCAGTGGTAAAGTGCAAGGCCCTGGGTTCAGTCCTCAGCTCTGAAAAAAAAAGAAGAATATAAGTTACAGGGGATGAGAGACAGCTCAGCAGTTAAGAGTATGCACTGCTCTTGTAGAGGCCTGAGCATCCAGGCTGTACAGCCCACAGTTGCCTGTAGCTCCAGTTCCAAGGCATCTAACACCTTGAAGTGTACACATAAGCATCTACCTTCCCCACAGATCGTTAAAAAGTAACAAATAAATACAAAAAGACTCTAATGGCTGCTGATTCTCCATTATGGACATACTGTAATCTAGCACATGCTTTTCTATTCCATACATAATGTTTCTAAGTTCTTACTATTGTGCATAATGCTGTAATGAGTATCTCTGTTAACAAATTTTTGTATCTCTGATTAGTTCCACAGGATAAATTTCTAAAACTGAATGTAATGTGGGAAATGGAATGAACTTTTAATATGCATTACTAAAGTCTTCTACCTCACAACAAAGTTCTTTCAAAATAATCAGATCGACGCTGGCTCCAAGCACACTTTGTGAGCCTCTGCACGAACATCAGTACCCTTCCTCACTCACTCCTTAGCTTACAGACGCGAGACTTCCAGACCCTTTCCTACATTATCCAACTTTCCATAACTCTGCAGAGTATGAGTAAAGATTACTCCTAACAATGTTTGTAGAGTTCTTCTGATTTTTTATTTCAAGCTGAACCCTGAGATCATCTTTTTGATACAGACCAAAATTTAGGAGAATTTAGCAGACCAAGGCTTAAATCTAATCCTAAGCATTTACTAATTTTAGGACTTTGGGACAATGACTTAACCAAATTTAACTTGCTGAAAGGGGACAATGCTACTTAGCTCTAAGGCCTGTTTTAAGGAGTAAATGAGGCAATAATGCAAAATGTGAAATCCTATCCTAACCTATTGCTTGATACAGGAAACATTAAAAAATGTAAGTGTAATGAAAATTTATTTACTTAGGGTTTTTGTGGGGATTTTGTTTGCTTGTCTATCTGTTTGTTTGTTTGAAATCAGGGTTTCATTTAACCCAGGCTGACCTCAACTCATGGCAATCTTCCTGCTCAGTTTCCCAAATACTATAATTATAAAAGTAAGCCACTATGACTGGCTATAATTATAATGGTATTTTCCAGAGTCTACTTATCCCTGAAATATATTCACGGACTAGTTAACCTGAAAACAGCACTAGGGTAACATACTACAACATTGACTTCAAAAGTAGTATTTTCTTATATATAAATGAAAATATTACCCAAAAAAGGCCTTGTATTAAATTCTGAGAAAATAGTATTTATTTAAATTAGTGTTGCATTTATGTGTATACACGCTCTCACACACATAATTTTAAGAGTATTTGTTTAACATGTATGTACACAGTTGTGGATCCACAGTATAGCTTTGTGAAGTTGGTTTCTCCCTGAATCTCTTTATGAATTCTAGGGATTAAACTCAGGTTGTCAGACTTGTGCTTCGGAGCCTTTACCTGCTGAACCTTTACCTGATGGTTCCCAAAAAATGATTTTTAAAGACATGGTGGCACATGCCTGCTAACCCAGGATCTGGGAGGTAGAAGCAGAAGCATTAGGAGTTAAAGACCAGATTCAAATACACACAGAATGCAAAGCCAGCCTGACAAAGACAGCCTTGAAAGACAAATATAAGGCCTGTGAGATAGCTCAGCAGGTAAGAGGCACTTGCACGCAGGCCTGACACGTTTGATTATCCCAGATCCCACAAGGTGGCAGCAGAGAGCTTACTCTCACACTTGTGCCTACACTCAGTCACATGCACACAAAGTTAACAAAATTGAAACAAAGAAGATACAGTAACCTTAAGAAATATTACAAATGGGCCAGAAAGATGGCTCAGTGTTTGAGAGGTTAGTTATTCAATCATGAGAACCTGAGTTTGCATCCCTGCACTCTTGTAACAATGTAAGCAATCCAAGTTTCAGTATGTGCCGGGTCACAGGGCTATACTGGGTAAAGATAGGAAGATCACTGGGGTGTGCTGACTGCCAGCCTAGCCCAAAACACAGGATCCAGGTTCAGAAGAGACTGCCTCAAAGGGCTTAGACGGAGCGACAGAGCGTGATACCCAATAACCTCCTTCAATACTTAATAACCTCTACACACACGTTGCATGCCCATACTCACACACAGACATACAAATATATTGCAAACATTTCGTGTAACTTCTCTGAAAAATGTGTCACTAACCTAGCTCTTTTGTCAGTGAGCCTCACACAGGACTTGCTGGCGCATGTCAAGGCATGACCCATGGTGAACAACGCCTTGGGAACTGAGCGGGCTCCAGGGAAAGCAGCAGAGGGCCTGTTACTGCAGGGCACTCTGGAACCTGGGTTGCTCTTGAACACCATTTTGTGCCATCTGTGTTAAACATTTATATTCAATTGATAAGATATGTTTGTTCTTGTTGGATGTCATAACACAGCTATAGAACCCAATCTGGTCAGTGCACCCTGAATCTGGATATAGCCTTCTGCCTTGCTTTCATACTTTCCCACATATAATCTATAGTATGAGACAAGCAATTGTGTTTTAATTGCTCTGTCCTGAGAAATTTCTGGGAAAGGGCTACTCTGTTATTATTTAGTATGTGCTTACTGATGTTTACTTGTATGTTTTTCTGATCATGGTTTTCTTTTTTTTTTTTTTTAAAAAAAAAACATTTTCTTTTAATATTTATTTATTTATTTATTTATTATACAGTGTTCTGTCTGCGTGTACACCTGAACACCAGAAGGGGGCACCAGATCTCACTATAGATGGCTGTGAGCCACCATATGGTTGCTGGGAATTGAACTCAGGACCTTTGGAAGAACAGCCAGTGCTCTTAACCTCTGAGCCATCTCTCCAGCCCTGATCATGGTTTTCTAAACTCAAAAAACCTTTCTTGGAGTATCGTGTTTGTTTCATTTATGAATAAAAGTGCACTGAAACTAAAGACTGTCTACAGAATCAGACTGTAATCCACCTCATTCTTTCCTCAGATCCCAGGTACAGCTGACAAAGTGCTCCATAGGTTGACTGAAAAGTTGACCATTACTTAGTCAAATCAAATCAACATAATCAACTGATTATTTTCTCACTCATTTACTCACAGGATAATCCATGTAAGTTTCTCTCCCCTCCAACTACAACAAACATATTCTGAACACCCATATTTACCAATTATTCTTCATGATACAATTCCTTCTCTAAGTTCTCAGCAGAGCTCTACTTACAGAATTTTCTTTTTTAACATGAGAGATGGACAGACTATAAAGGGCCCTGTGTTAAAGAATGCACAGAGCACCTGTGAGGTGTTTATTAACTGAGTTCTCGGCAGCTGAACCCTCTAAAACTAGAGTCACAGACAGTGGTAAGCTGTGAGTGCTGGTAACTAAACCTGAGCCTTTGGCAAGAGCAGCAAGTACTCTTAACTGTTAAGCCATCTCTCCAGGCCCCCACCAAACCATAACTTTTAACATATTAAGTTAAATATTAAAATAAATTTTAAAACTAGGGCTAAAATAGAAGAACAATAAGGCATACTGTGCAAATCTATCAACTTATATATGTATAAAAACTGTCATGGATATTAAATGTTCAAATAACCTCAAACTAATTTCCAATATATCCAAGATACATAAAACTAATGAAAACAACTTCCTATACCTGTGACTTCAGATGTCTTCCATTCTAAAAGCACTTTTGTTTCATCAGAACAACATCTGATCAATTTGGGGAAGGAGCAGTGGGGAAGGAGAGGGGAAAATTAGCCAAAACAAAACAAAAACAGAAAACAATGATAAACAACACAAAACAAAAACCTACCGTGAGACAGTCTCACAGAGAGTATTTAGGCTACATGCTTTTTAGCAGAAATATATTTATATTTGTTTACCTTAGCATGGCACTATGTCCTATATAAAGTAAGTAAAGTCGGCGGTAATTCCTCAGGTTTCCAAACACTGACTTCCAGCTTCTCACTGGGTGTGATGACGCACACCTGTAATCACAGTTCTCAGGAAGCTGAGGCAGGAGTACTGAGACTTCCAGGATGGCACTGGATACACAGCAAATACAAGGGTGGCCTGAACTAACGCAGCAAGATTCGTAACTCAGTGTCGGGGAACCCATGATTGGAGGGGCCTGAGCTCCAACCCCAGCACGGGGGGGACAACCCAAGTTTCAGAGTAAAGAGCTTGGAAACAATCAAATTTTGGTGAATGACAAACTAATTATGAAAAAGTATAAACACAGCTTCCACCACACACTTAATAAGAAAATACTCCACAAATGACAATGTGTCTTCCTCTTCTTGGTCAGCCATGCTTGTTTTCTGAGAAGGGACAGAAGTTTGATTGATTCTTGAGAACCTTTCACAGTAGGACAGCTTACCGAAAGGAGGTAGTCCGTATGTTTGGGTTGCCTGAGGGTAGACAGCATAGGGTTGAGACTGCTGTAGTGTCTGGTACTGAGTCTGACCAGGGTAAGCGGTTTCCGACACAGGAACCGAGAGGATATGTGCATAAGGTCTAGAAAAATCAAGAAAATGAAAACTTCCATTATGTGGCTCATTTTAGTTCATGAAAATGGGTGAAACAGTTAATATCACTAAAATAAATAAATCTCAGAATGAGATTATCTTTTTTTTAAAATTAAAAAAAAAAAAGGCCTCTATTATGGTCAGAAAACACAAGTTTTGTCCTTTCCAGGTTCTACTATCTATTTTCCCAAGGATTAATTTTATTGAAAATCAAACAGTTTCAAACAACTTCCCAAGTTCTAGCTATTACCCTACAAATAACAGTGTTATAGGCAAAGCCCCAAACAAGACACAGGATTACTTATTTATGCTGTATTTGGATAATGACTGAGCTCTGGGCTGGGGACACAGCTGGCAGAGCACTTGCGTCTGATTCTTAGCACCACGTAAACCAGGCATTGCGGTGAAAATCTGTTATCCCAGGACTTGACAAAGGGGAGGTGGGGGTTGAGGGGCAGGAGGATCAAGAGTTCAAGGCAGTCAGAGGTGGTGGCACACGCCTTTAATCCCAGCGCTTGGGAGGCAGAGACAGGAGGATCTCTGAGTTCAAGGCTAGACTGGTCTACAGGGTTCCAGGACAGCCAGAGCTACACAGAGAAGCCCTGTCTCTAGAAAACAAAACAAAACAACCCAAAAAACAAAAAAGCCAGGGAGCAGAGGTGTTCTCCAGTATCCTCAACTCATGAAGCAGGAGCCAGCTTGGCTAACAGACCACACTTCAGCACACTGCCACTAACTGGTGCCAGTCACACCAGAGACAGCCAAGGAATCAACCTCACCAGAGAATCCCCAAGACTTCACCCTGGCTTGCAGTCTATCCACTATACCCTATGTGTAACTTCTACTTATTATATTTGGCATCTTATGTTACATGATAAAGTGCTATTATGCATCATAAAAGTCTTAATAAATATGGGCTGGAGAGTTAAGTTATAAAAAGGGAAAAGATTCCCCCCCCCCAAAAAAAAAAGCACTCTGGAAGTAGACAACAGAGGAAGGCTAGAAAGCAGCAGCGTGTGCACTGAACAAACGACATGTTCTGGGACAAGAGAAAAGCCCCAGAAAAGAGAGCAAGGGTTTCAAAACCTGAGAGGAAGCCTTGCACTAATCCTCAGGGAGGTGCCTTGAGAAAGCAAAAGAGCATGCAAAAAGAAGGAAGATTGAAGCATGGCCCTCGAGTGGCGGGCTAGAATGCAGACAAATCGGAAACAACTGGAAGGCCCTGAACTCACCAAAGAATGGCAAGAACAGAGCTATTCTTTACTAAAGATTAATGTCATGCTGCTTTCTAAAATGGATTAGAAGGGAGAAAAACAACATGGAGGTCCAGATAAACAAGGATGTTAATGGAATGGTACAGTAAGTGATGAGGAGGTGAAAATGACTGCAAAAGGCACATCTGAATACAGTGTCTGAATGTAGCAACTATGTATACATCAGGGATAAATTTGGTGTATGCAACATATTCATTTCCAACAGACACTCAGAGACTTGTATTAGTCAGATCTAAGCCTGGAAAATAATTTCAACAGTTGATACTCAAGTCGCATGAAATTACTCTGAAATAGAAGTGTTTCAGAATGGCCCATTTCCAGATACTGTAAGACCACAGTGTCCTTTCCTTGCCTTTACAGATAATATCACCAGGTTAGAGCTAAAGTATTTAAAAAATTCATCATCTCACTATTCTGTCTTTCAAACGAAGTAACATGCTACACGATGAAGACAGAGAGCCTGCGGAACTGACATGTGTTTCCCATTTAGTATCTAATCTAGGTGTGCCCAATCTGCGGCCAGTAGGCTGAATCATCCCAGGGTAGCTCTGAACAAGACTTCGTACATTTGTAGATGACAACGTAATGTCACATGTCCAGAGGGTGAACATTCCTATAGCATGGAAAGCCTCCCCGTAATACTTCCAAAAGACAGTGTTAATCTCTCCAGAGAAGATTAACACTTGAGAATGGCTGGTCCAAGAAGACATTAATATTAACACCAACATGTAGAAAGCTGTGATTTATTTAACTAAAGGTATAAGTAAATGGTACAAGGGCGGAAAAAGGTCACTTTCCTCTCATAATAGGGATCTCTCACCTCTGCTACCAATTTCTTCGTGAACCTGTGTTTGCAAGTGCATAAAAACACACTGGTTTAATGAGTGCAGCTATGTCTATGTATGGATATAGGTCCATCCCTCATTAATACACAATTGCAACTTATATAAAGATTGTTCTGCACCCTACACACCTTAAAGATGACTAATCTGGCTGGTCATGAACACTGACCTTACACTATGGAGGCCTAAATGTACCTCTTTGCAACTTTAATCCATTACACTTGTCTCATTCAAGCTCAATTGTTTGTAGTTCCAATTGGGAGCAATGTTGAGCTGTTTTTACTGATCCATATGTCAATGTAGAGAAAAAAAAAAAAAAAAGGATCAGATCACCAAAATACTACATTTTGAGTGCCTACCTAACCACAGTCAGTTCCTATGTAATAGCAATCTATTCCAGAAACCACCTGATTTTTAAAAGGATGACAAGAGTATATTTAGATGTGATAAAAATTGGAGTAAAGACAGAGAGCAAGAAAGGTGAAAAAAGTTATATGTTAAATTTGTAATGAACCTAGAGAAAAAGTCTGGAAATAATTATTCGACTTACTTTGCAGAGTACATTTGTGAGGTATAATCACCGGATGAACGAGGGATGTAATCCGTACAAGTCATAACTGAAAGAAAGATATTGTCAGGTAAAAAGTTAGAGCATTTTAAAGAATCAAATGGGAAACTTACTTATCTTACGGATTAGTCCTTCAAAGTGAACAACACACAACCTGGATGCCAAAGTGTCAAAGACCGTGCAGCAGAAAACACCTCATTTTTGTGTTTACAGACCTGTTTGTAGAGTTTAAGAGGCAGTAAAAGAAAAAAGACAGGACAGAGGGGGACAGGTGAACACAGAAAAGATCTGAAGATAAACCAACTAATCCCTATTTTACCATCACTGACCTAAACTATCTATGGAGCAAAACCCCCTAGGCTCTCAACCATGCTTATTGACAACCTTGGAAAGGAAAACCCTTATCTAAGAAATCAAATGGTGTCTCTGACATCTTTAAACTCTGGACTGCTTACTCTATTCTTTGCAAAAAGCCCTAGGACTGGCTTTGTGAGGCAGGTTTGGTGTAAGTGCCAATCTCCTTTGGAAACCATTGCTATTGCTAAGCAGAACCGGCAGCAGCACAGACAGGAGCAGGTTCTGTACTACCACTTTCTGCTTTATAATACAGACTTTAAGTCTGGCCAACCAGATGCTCTGAGACCCACGGGGCGACGTACTTTTCCAGCTGGTGTCCTTTTTCCCTCCATGACTTTATCTGGAAAAAGCTGCTATGAAAGCTTGACCCTCATGGTCACAGCTAGGATAAACGCCATAAAAATGTGGCTCAAGGTCAACAAATGCTGAAAGCCACTCATTAGGCTCCACTTCAGTTCATTATACACAGAGCTGCGCCATAAATGCTCTGACCACACTCCTCAAGTGTTCAGACTTCAATATCACAAAAGGTGCTGTTCTGTTGCAAAGATGGACTAAAAATGAACCATCTGCCTTATATCCAGCTAGGTTCCCTGAAAGAATGACTCACACAGAAGTAACCATCAGAAGATGAGGGGCCAATTCATACCCAAGAGAAAGATAAGCTAGCACTGAGTTTATATAAAGATCTTGTCCAATGCCATTGTCTGAGGTTTTTAAAAGATTATTAAAAGTAGCCGGGAGCAGTGGAAGCAGAGGCAGGGAGATCTCTGTGAGTTTGAGGCCAGGCTAGTCCACAAAGCAAGTCCAGTACAGGCAAGGCTACACAGAGAAACCCTGTCTCAAAACAAACTGTTATTAAAAGCTTGAATATCATTTTTACTTATACTCAGATTGACAGAAACTAAGGTAATCTCAATTAGATGTGAATTTTTTATCCATCATGGAACATAGGGTAGGGTCATTCAAATTCTCCAAGATGGTTTCCTCTCCATTGACAGGTTTTCAAACCCTTATCTACCCTTCCTTCAATGACAGATTAAGACTAGAGTTTGGCAGTATCAAGAAACTGATGGATTACAAGGCCAGGGCATAATCTGTTATTATACAATAGGGGGTTAAAAAGTAGTATACTGTCGTAGACTACAGTAACAACGTTAGGACGAGGCAGAGTGAAGCTGTAACACACCATTCTGATCAGCTCTGATATATGGAGTGAGGGAGACAGGGACGCGCAGGATATTTCATTTGGACAGATGGTGGGGCAGTGATACAGCTTCCTAGGATGGGCATGTCTGGGAGAAGATCTGACTAGGTGAAAGACAGAAAGGCTTCTTACATATTACATGTGCCTTTGCTTTCAGACATTAACTAGAGATTTCAAGTAAGTAGTTGGATACACAAATGAAATCAGAGAAATCACACTGGATATAAAAATGTGGGATTTGGGCATGATGTTCCACACTATTAATCCCAGCACTAAGGAGGCAGAGGCAGGCAGATCTCTATGAGTTCAAGGCCAGTCTGGTCTACCTAACAAGTTCCAGGCCAGCCAGGGCTACATAGAAAAACCTTGTTTCTAATTATCAACTAATTAATTAGTTGGTTAATTAATTTGGGATTTGTTAACAATATATGACATTTAAAGTAATATAATGTAATGGATGGGAGGATCACCAAAGAGGATGCTAGCCTAGAACCCAAAGCTGAAGCCTTCCAATATTCAAGTACAGCTAAAGAAGGGTCATAAGGGAAGTGAGAGAAAACATGCTGAGAGGGAGACTATGAGGAGAAACAAATGTCTACTAGAATTGGCAGTATGACAGCAACTGAGGACCTTGGCAAGCAGCTTCCCAGGAAGAGAGACAACAGAAGCTACATCAAACAGCTGAAGAGTGAACGGGTGGAAGAAAGGAAGCAGAGGCAAATCTTTTCTGAGGTTCTGATATATCATGAAACACAGAGAAAATCATAAAAGATGTGGAGCAAAGAGAACTTTTGTCATCTTTTAAAGATGGCAGATAGCAGGGCACATCTCTTCAGGAAAAGAACTAGGAAGAATGTGATAATGCCGGAGTAGAGTGTGAGAATCATCATACCAAGTCTTGGGGAAGGCCAGAGGGGTACAGAATGCAAATACAAGGACTTAGACAAGAATACTATTCTGTTCTAGGAAGGAAAAAGGAAGCAAGACAGTATGGGCACAAACACAGGCAGGCCTAGAGATGGGGACGGTGTAATAAGGGAGCTTCTTGTGTGCAGCTTTTGTTTGAGAAGACAATAGTTAGGCTTGAGGAAAGATGTTTTGAAAATAGAGGTGGTGTGAATTAAGAGGAAAAGCTCATCAGAAAAATGCAGACTTCCCAAACACACTGAGTACTCACCTAAGCTGTGGTTAGGACTAGGAATAACTACTCAGTTAAGTATGTAACTCCACCTAATGATGCTTAGTTATTTGTTCACATTTACAGAGAAGAGGAAGAGCTGACTGAAATTAAGGTTGGGAAAAAAAGCATAAGGACTATTAAAAACTGACAGGTAAGATTACTTGGTTTTAAGTTTTCATTTTAACTCTTGAACAACAGTCAGGCATTAGCCCACTAGCTTTTTTAATTTTTAATAAAATGCTACTATTTTTAGAAGTTCAACCTCCAGATAAAATTAAAATTACTGAGTATGACTCCTTGGATGAGCCAATCCATGAGACTGTCCTCAACTGGTATGTCAGTAATGCTTATTACAGTACATATATGAGGAAGGGAAGAGGGACCTTCTAGATATATTCTGGACAACCCAGACACTCAGGAAAACCCCAATTAAACAAGAATAACATCACTTAGTTGTAAGAATAACATATCCACCATGCATAAAACATGGTACTTACTTTCTTCTGACATGCTAAGATTTGATGCAAGGCTGGATGTCTCAGGCTTCTGATCACTGACATCCGGGTTGTTTACTTGACTAGGAGAACCAAAGCAAACACATTAGTTCTGATGAGTTCCTGCGATGCTGAACAATAACCTCTACCATCTCCTCCTTGGCTATCACAGTAAGAAGTAAGTCTAGATGACCTCCCTATTCTTAGTTATTTAGCAACTAAGGTGAAAGAAGGAGGACCAGAACCTTCAACCGTCCACTGTTTTTTTCATATCCCTAGACCCCTTGAAGATTTTATCTGACTTGGAAGCCCCAGCTAAGTCACAGACAAGCCAATTTTTTCTCTAAGATCATACATTAAGACAACCCTGAACATCTAACAGTGCTGTCACTTAAAAATACTGTATACACTGCATCTGATGGATCATAATGTAATGTGCTGGTGTGTATATATACTATGAGATGATAAACTAAGCTAGCTAATAAACCAGCCACCTTACATGCTTATTCACTGTGGTAAACAAACAAACAAACAAACAAACAAACACATTTGAAATAAATTCTTTTGGTAATTTTGAAAGCTACAGTACTTTATTTCCATGCCATTCCATGTATCTGCTACTTTGGCTAAAAGTGTAACAAAGCAGGAAGATGTCTTATTAGACAGAGTGGGTCATCATCAGTTACAAATTGAAGTTTTTAAAGATTACATGTGTTTGTTCCCAAGGAGGAGTTCTGAACCCTTAAAACCGTTCAGTTTGCTTTATTTCTCTTTTAAAAGAAAAATTAAGTTTGGCATGGTGGTGTACACCTATAATCCCAGCACTAGGCAGATGTAAGGCAGAAGGATCAGGATTTCAAGACATCTTCTAAAATACATGAATCGGAGGCCAGCCAAGGCTACAGGAGTCCCTGAGAAACTAAAATGTTGCAAGCATGACACTAAAATTGTAGAATGGAGTTGGCTCCAAGTTGAGTCCTTTTAATAATGTTTTCCTCTTTTCTTTCCCTTTAAGACACTGGATTCAGTCACTTCCAACCACAATGCCATATGCTTGGAGTCCAGATTCTATCTTTGGTGCAGAAGGATTTATCATGAACTTAAGGTCAGTATGGCTTATAAAATTAGTTTAAAGCCAGGCTGCACAATAGAATGAGACCCTCTCTCAGAAAACTAACTTTATTACCACTAGTGCAAGCTCTAGAGCTGGAATGGCAAGTTCATAATCCACTTTTCGAATACCTAGCTGTATGGCTTGAATAAGTCACTAATTTCTCTAGGCCTCAGTTTACCTGTCAGTGAGGAGACAAACAGAACCCACCTCACTAGGTTATAAGAAAAATTATAATACATAAAAAATAGGCAAGTCTAGACACAGCAAGCACACAGTAACCACAGCTGTTCTAGTTCCTGTTTCCAGCCATGCACCCTTCCCACATTTATGTCCCCCAATAGGAGCCTGCTTTACTCTTTCCTCCCTAGGAAGAGGTAAAGGCCACAGGCTCTACATAAGAGAACAAAAACGTCTAACCAGAGGTAAAAGTGGTTTCTATACAGCAACATTTAAAGCTCTCATATGACCTCTGATAGCAAAGCATTAATTAATAAAGACTTTTCTTCTGATCTATTTTGAATGTTAAATTAAATTTTCCCCAACAACATTAACTTATTTATTTGTGTTTGTGTGTTTTTTGAGATAGGATCTCACTCTGTAGCCCTGGCTGGCCTGAAACTGAATATGAAGACCAGGCTAGCCCTAGACTCCGAGATTCACCCACTTCTGCTTTGTAAGCACTGGGATTAGTGGCATGCACCCCCACGCCTACTAGTTTTTTATTTTTTTAATGTAATGAGAGTTTTGCCAGCATGCATGTATGTGGACCATGTGTCCCCGGTATTCATGGAGCCAGAAGAGGGCATCGGATCCCCTGGAACTGGAGTTACAAACAGCTGTGAGTCACCTATGAGTCCTGGAAACAAAATCCTTTTCCTCTGCAAGAGCAGCCAGGGCTTGTAACAGCTTAGCCACCTCTCCAGCCTAGATATTTAATTTTTAAAGCTACATTTTCAAAGTTCAATTTTATCTCTGTCAAATGGTTACATTTCTGAATAGCAATGTACAACCCAAATTATGACTATAAAAATTAAAGGGAAAAGAAAATAAATGACATGCATTAGTTATACTGGTACAAATCAAAATGTCTAAATCATTATGGTCACCTGAATTTTAGATAAAAGTTAAGGACTTCTCAAACACATACACACCAAAAAAAAAAAAAAAAAGTTTAAAAAGTCAAGAAACAACAACAAAACACATGCAAGCTGGGCATACAAGCCTATAATCCCAGCACTCAGGGAGGCAGAGGCAGGCAGATTACTTTGAATTTGAGGTCAGCCTGGTCCACAAAGCAAGGACAGGACAGGATAGCCAGGGCTATACAGAGAAACCCTGTCCTGAAACACCAAAGATAGATAGATAGATAGATAGATAGATAGATAGATAGATAGATAGATAGATAGATAGATAGACAGACAGACATATAGACAGACAGATATAGACGCCTGAGTCCCTCATGCCTATTTAAGCAGAATCACACAAGGAAGAGCAAGAAACTGGCCCAGAACTTCACTTTCCAATGCAATGACAGGTTGTCTTTTCTGTGTACTTGGGATAAGTCTGAGCTTCAATGTTATACCCACTACTGCAGACTATTTTTAGACCCTGAATCTTAGAAGTCATACATACTCCTCCACACTGAGCACAACAGCTCTAGAGGGCCTTGGATTCTAGTTTGCTTCTGGAATTTTGTTTTCACAAAATCTCCTTCATATTCATATGAGGAGGCAGACTGGAAACACACCACCAAGATGGTGAATTAATTCTGGCACTGTGTTAAATGTTTAAAAGTGTCCCTAGAGAAATCATATACTGTCTGAAAATATTATTACTCTCAGAACATATAAATGTAAAATTTTACATAACAAAAGTTGCTTTAAAAAATAACAAGAAAAGTAAAACACTTAAACGCCATAAATTACACAGTCCAAATACCTTCTCACTCAACAGAACTCTTGTCTATTATCAATGATTGATAGAGAAGAGGAAAAAATAAAATTATCATTCATCCTTAAAAGGAAGAAAATTCTTTTTCAATAATTTATTAATTTTATTTTATGCGCATTAGTGTGAAGGTGTCAGATCCTTTGAATTGGAGTTACAGACAGTTGTGAGCTGCCATGTGGATGCTGGGAATTGAACCTGGGTCCTTTGGAAGAGCAGACAGTGCTCTTAACCACTGAGCCAACTCTCCAGCCCCTGGAAGAAAATTCTAACTGGGCAGTGGTGTCACATGTCTTTGATCCCAGCACTTAGGAGGCAGAGGCAGGCAGAATTCTGTGAGTTTGAGGACAGCCTGGTCTACTGAGCAAGTGCCAAGATAGCCAGGGCTACACAGAAAACTCTTCCTCGAAAAAACAAAAACAAAAAAAAAAAAAAAGAAGAAGAAAAAGAAAATTCTGATACGTTATAGAGACATAACTTGACAAATTATTGCTAAATTTTTTTAAAAGTCTATATATATATATGTATGTCTTTTTTACTATATCTATAAAACCTTACAGTCCTTTTCACGAAGCGTTTAGAATAACTGACAGACTAATCTCACAGGAACAGAGAGTGGACTAGAATATGTTAGGTACAGGAAAGTTTTGGTTAAGAGGTGTGAAGTTTCAACGTGGGAAGTCACTAAAGGTTAGAGACAAGCAGCACAAGTTCATGTACACACTGCTGCTCAATTATTCTTTTAAAATGCTTTAAGGGATGTGGAATGTAGCTTGGTGATAGAGCACTTTCTAGCTATAGAAGGCCCTGGACTCAATTCCCCTAGTATGGCTGGCGGAAGGGAAGTTTTAAGCGTAGACATGGTGGTTAAAGTCTCTAAATCTCGGTAGTCAGGAAGGTAAGGGTTATAAGCTAAAGGCCAGCATGACTGACACAGTAAGACTGTCAAGGGAAGAGGAAGTAAATGGTAAATTTTATGTTGACAGATTTAACACTTACTAAAGGAGGAGGGGGACTGCAGAAAATACAAAGTTAACAGGTTCTTTACATGGCAGGAAAACTGACTTCCCAGGAAAAGGAAACAGAAAGTATCCACAATAGATTTGGTGAGAAGCAAAATGCTTCTTTTTTAATGTCTTGAACTTGTCTTTGAATTAGGTAGCAAGTTCCCTAGCTAAGTGAACACAACGGTGGGATGCTAAGAGAAGGACTGTAGGCAAAGCTGAAAGGAAGAAAGAATTAAGATGGCGTTTAGACAGCAGGACACCAGACACACAACGAAGGGCGTCTAAGTGTGTTTGAGCTGTAACCATGAATGTAAACTATAACGAGCCGGTATAGTTTCACGCTGTTCTATTACAGTGTTATGGCGATAAAGAATAGATAAATGATCTGGGTTTTGGCAAAGTTGTGATTTTACTGTCAAGCAGATTGGAAATATGCACAGAACAGGTGGACCACTGGGCTCGGGCAAGGATGTACGTTTGCTGGCAAGCATCACACAGGAAAATGGAGAAGGCCAACACTTTTAAGGAACTGACTATAGTAATAGATCTTATAACATAATCAGCATTAAGAAACGGAAATCCTTTTTTGAGAGAAAGGCCAGTGGGTGATAGAGAAAATATGCTAGAAATTTAAACAGAAAGTATGGCCAGAGTGGAAGTTCCAGTGTAAAAGGTCTAGAGTGATCTATGTGGTAAAAACAGCAATCTTGAAATTCTTGTGTTGGTAATGATAGAGTTACTGGCTCAGATGGTCAGTGGACAACTGACAGGAGGCACAACTCTAGAAAATGACAATCCTGATGGAGACAAAGCATGAGATGCTAAAAAGACAGCTCCTTTCTACAGGAGTAGAGCAAATGTCTAGGGTATCACATACTCAACTCATAATTAATGCCACGTTCTTTGTATTTTCTTATTTCAGTCTCTCCTTCCTATATTGTATATTTGACTGAAGAATGTATCATTTTTCATTTATGAGTTTCTCTATAAATGCCTGCTACATATGAAATTAAAGTAAGTAATGAAGGCATAACAACAACAAAAAAATCTGCATACATATTAGAGGGAAAGCTACATTGAAGAAGTAATTGTTTGCTACACAATCCTATTTTAAAGAGAATTTTTAATCTGAAACCAAGTAATTTCAAAATGTAAAGGTGACAGTGAGGACCAAAAAGGCAGTTGTCAACAGAAAGCAAGCCCTGTACTAGTCAACATATGGTAGAGTTAGTTCAAGCAGATCATTAAAAAGAAGCCCAAGTCTAGAATACCTTAAAGTTTGTTCTCCTGGTTCCTGCATCTTGGGTTTTTTCACCTGCAAAGATCAGTACACACAGAAATCAGTGCAGTGATCTGATTCTGAAACCCTAGTTGTTCAAACACAGTTGGCTCTCAGTATCTCGGGGGGCAGGTTCCAGAAACCTTCACTGATAGCAAAATCTGTACAGTCAAGCCCTTTATATTAGCATGCACAGTTCTCCTGTACTTCAAGCCATCTCTCAATGACTGACAATAGAGAGTGCATAACCGTATGTGAGCAGTTGTTATACTGCATTATTTAGGAAATGAGAGTGTCTATATAATATGTGTACTAAAGAATTGTTTGTGCTCACTATATTCACCTTCAGTTGATTGAATTTACATATTGACACCTGGTAGAAAAGGCTGACTATACATTAACCAAAGGCCACAGCTGGAATGTGCTGGTGTAGAACATACTCCCCTATACTGTCCACTTCATTATGAAAATTTTAAAACTGTGTGCTAACTTCAGGAATTTGATGGGGATGAGCTGCTAAGCCCAACTGCCTGAGACACAAAATCATGTACATTAAATACACATAACATACACTTATTCCTATGTTTTCTACTCACCAGAAATCTGGTAACAAATGAAGGGGAATGATCCCATCTACTTAAAGCATTTTTTTGTCCCTTAAATACATGGGGGCATAAAGCCAGCATTCTTCAGTCATAGTGTAACATGGCAAAACAGGAAATAAAATGGCAGACTCTCTTTTATTTTTTGGAAAAACAGCATAGAGCAAATACTTCTAGCAGGCCACAATTCGCTAACAGTGAGGGGGCAAACCACCAGTGTTATCAGGAACAACCTTACAAAACACAGCAACCCTATCTACAGATGGAGGCCCCTTTCTCTGACTGTGTAAGCCTCTACCTAAAGAGGAGAAAACAGAGTGACTAAACATAGGAAATACCCAAAGACTAGCTCAGAGATAAAACACCCACTTAGTGTGAGCGGGGTCCTGCATTCAATCTTTAGAACCAGATACAAGAAAACAAAAACAAAACAAGACAACAACACCTACCATACCTACAAAAAAGGAAGAAAAAGAAAGAGAGAGAGAGGTGAGGGCTCACTGCAATTTATAGAGTGAGCATCTACAAAGAAATAGTTATTATTCTCTGGTGCTTTGAAGAATTTGTCTCAAATAGTCAGTTGAGCCATTCATATTCTAAAAGTTTAAACTGTCAACATTACTGCAGAATGTCATACTCTTCTCTCAAGTCCTCAGTTTTAGGATGCTGTCAATGAGGCGACATTAAAGCAGCACTCCTCTTCCATTCCTCCCTGCCACCGCTGTCGAATAAAGCAGCAACAAGCAGTAAGCAGTGCACTTCTTTGCAGCTGATTCAAACGTCTCTCTCATTCACTGGGACATTTTCAGAGATGATCAACACTGGCCTGATAATTGTGTTTCTACGTCTCAGGTCACCCAGACGGGTGATTCTGAGAGCACACGACTGTACTCTGAGCACTCAGAGGCAAAAGCAGGAGGACTGCCAGTAGTTTACGGTCAGCCTAGATACAAACTGGGATTTTGTCTCAAAGAAACAAAATGGGTTCGTGAGGTAAAACTTCTGAGTCTGGAAGGTCAGGACTCATTTAAAATCCTATAAGCTGGATGTGGTGGCACACTCCGGTCATCTTGGCACTTAAGAGGCTTGAGGCAGGGGGCTGACTCATGAGGGTCAAGCCAGTCTGGGTTTCCGAGTGAGACACTGCCTCCAAAACAGAAAGAAGGGCGGTTCAGGGAGGCTCTCCCTTACAGCCTACAGAGATTCCCCTTCATGGAAGAGAGAGTGGCATTCAGTTCAGTCAGTCGTTCAGCCTCGTCGGTCTGGGGCAGAGGCGCTTGTTCTATCATGTTAAGGATCTCTACTACAAGCTGTGAACTCACGCTTTCTCAGAGTCTGTACCTGTCTACTTGGCTTCTACCAGATGACAAAGCTGTAACTCCCCAGAACCTAGCTCCCTCTATCTAATTCAAATACTCCTTTTTTAGATGCTATCTTTAAGACAGGGTCTCCTGTAGCCCTTAGAACATGTTGACTTAAGAACATGTTAGGCGGCAGAGGATGAGCTTGAACTCCTGATTCTCCTGTCTCCACTCCCCAAATGTCTCCATTAGGGTTTCCATCAATGTGATAAACACCACGACCAAAGCAACTTGGGAGCAAAGGATTTATTTCATCTTACACTTCCAGGTAATAGTCCTTTACTATTTGCAGGGTGCTGCTACAGGCAAATAGAGATGGGGGCCATTTTCTCAACCGAGGTTCCTCCTCTCAGATGACCCTAGCTTCTGCAAAGTTAACAAAAAAACTAACCAGTACACCAGGTGCTGGGATTCCTAGTCTGCACGGGCTTGGCTGGCTGTTTGCCGTCCTAAATCACAAAACAGCCTGCTGGAATCACGTTAATGCGTCATACCATTCTGTCTGCCTCATCTTTACGTAGAAAATCTTAATGAAGCTTGTGCTCATGTCTTCCCTTGGATGCTTTCTGCCTCCACACTGACACTGCTACTTCACGCTGTTACCTGGCAGGAACGTTGTTGTCTTTTCCAGTGGCACTGGCATGTCTAGGTGGTCACACACAGATACCAGGAGCACAAGCAAATAAGAAAGTGACTTTCTGTAACGATCATCACACAGCAGACATTCTGGCATTACAGCGCTTCAGGTTCCTACCTTCCTCTAGCATTTAGAAACTGAGCAGAGTGAGAAGGGGGGAAGCAGAGCAGAAGAGGTGACCGATATCAGGTTAGTCTCACCGTTGCTACTTTCACCAGATAGGGAGTAAACTAACAATTTCTACTTCGACACTATGTCAACATTTACGTAAGTCTTTCTGGATTTATGAGTAGACTTTTGTCTCACTACGTTAAACACTCAATGATATTATTGTCCGTCTATAGTTCAGCTGTTTGTTTCAACAGTGCACATCCTATATACTGTTCAAGATGATTGTAACCCTATTACTCCCCGACTATTAACAACTCACCAAGGACAGAGAGCACATTTAAAAGTCTCAAAAGGTATTTGTATGAGTTGCTGTGTCTTCCTAACTTTAACAGTTACCTTAGCCGAGAGGGCTAACAGAAAGGCAAAGTAATCACGAGTATGCAACTCTCAACACATAAAGAAAAAGGCAATATTCACTTGGCAATGCTGAGTGCACTAAACAGATTCCCTAGCATGAGGTTAGCCAAATTTTAGTTTAAAACATGCAACATGCCAGGTAAGGCAGGGCACATCTGTGATCCTAACCTGGGAAGCCAAGGTAAGAGCATCACACATTTGAGGCTACCAGAGGCTGCATATAGCAAGACTCCATCTCAAGAACAAAACAAAAGAACATACAACATTGCCTTCTCAGAGGGAAACTGCTAAGGAGTCTGTTCTTTAATCCCATTTCTAATTTGGATTCTGTAAATATAACTGAATAATATTCAAATCTCTTCAAATTAGCTTTTCTACCACCAACTTGTATCAACTTGAACTTGGAAACACTCACCGGTTGCTCTGGTAGGTCTTGCTCTTCTTCCATGAGGACCACAATCTCTTTACACACTTAAGTGACTGGATTGCAGGTCTCTGCAGTCTTCACAAACTGTTTGTAGAAAGAGAGGAATGCAAAGCTTTATAGACTCATAAAGCATTATCATCGAGGCCATCAGAGAAGAACTTTTTAATATTTTGCTACACAAGCTTTCTACGTTAGTTCCAATCTCAAAATCTCAAACTTGCACGTGGCTTTTCAATACTGACATGCTGCTCCAAGTCACGAGAGCTGTACGCAAAGACTTCTGTAAACTCTGCCAAAGCCAGCACGTGGAGCCACTTCTGCTGGTTACTATAGCGCCTAATGCGTTAGACGCTTTACAATGACAGCCATGTGCAGATAATAAAACAATTTATTTAAGGATTAGGGTTACATTTAAAATGATAGAGACTGGCCTAGCAGGTCAGTAAGTTATGATAACATCTAACCTGTTTTAATGTGGAACATTTACATAACTGTTAACACAGACACACGGAATCGCTTTAAATAGGACAAACTGGAAAATCAATTAAATACATCACAATCAACTATCTGTCTATATGTAATCAATTTAAATGAAAATGTAATTCTTTTGGATTTTGATAAGGCAGGTAAAGTGAAACCTTAAATATGAGAATTAACGAAAAATAATTATGTAAAGCTAGAATCCAATAATCTGAAATAATGAATCTCCACTAAATATACTAGGTAATTATTGAAATAAATCTTTACTTTTCAAAGCCTGCTCCTCTGGTCCTAAATTTTAATTAAAAGAAAAAAAAAACCCACATTCTTTGACCTGCTAAGAGGAGATATATTATAAAAGCAAAATATTCCATTTCTACTCAACTGAGGCTGGCTCCTTCTCAGACAGTCCCACATCTCACTTGTGTGACTTCTACCACAACCCAACTTGACATACAGATAGAGTAAGTTCACAGTGCTGCTGCTGTGATAACAAAACAACAAAAACAGTGAAAACCAAAGCCTTCGTTTCTGCTGGTGCCTACTCAACTCGTGTGGTTCTTTTGTACAATATAATATACTTTTCAGAGCCACATGTAAGAACAAGAAAAGGACAGAAAACAAGTTTAAAAAAATATAAGCAGATGAAGACTTTAACAATTAGATAATACAGCTCGACTCCCTCCTCTGCTCTTAAATGTCGAAAGAAAAAGAGAGTTTAAAGGTCAGAAGTGCTTGATGCTCAGCATGCTCACGTGGGGCTCACACAGAGCCTCAGAAGCTGTGCTGCAAGCATGACGCAGACAGCCTGCACTGAAGAACCACAAAATGCAAAACGAAAGCTCACAGCTACAACCTCCCCTGGACTTGTTTTGCTCAACACAGAGAAGCATAATCTATGTGACCATGAAACTGATTTTTGTAACCGTAAAAAAGAAACACTTTTTATCTTACTAGTTTATGATTGCCTTAAATTAAAATCTCTTTATGGATTATTGCACTATGCAAATGTACATTAGTAAATATGTGATTTCAACCCAATAAGAGCCAACAAACTAGGATAAAGTTGCAAAGCAGAATGTCTTCACTCTTCATTTGTTGAAATGTGCTAACTCTGTTTTCCCAATCAAAGGATAGAAATGTAAAAACTGCAATCTGAAGTTTTTTCAAGAATTTGCTCTTAGCAAAGAGGGAGAGAACCTCTTCCCTGTGACAGGGTTAAAATCCATATTGGGATTGAGGAAGGTAAGAGTAATTCTTAAAATTGATTGTCAATAATGTTTTTTAATTTGTTTTTAAACACAAAGCTTATTTTAAAAATATGAACATTAAAAGAGAATATATAAAAAAGGCAATACCTCTTAAAAGTAAGAAATATTACCTAAATATGCATAACCAAATATTCAAACTATCAAAAAACATTAAAATCCTAAGCTAGTTGAGATGGATTTTGTAGTAAGTTATAAGGTAACTTTTTTATGAAAAATAAATAATTCTCTCTACTTGTATTTCTTCTTTGAAAATAAACACTCTCGTTAACATCTTCAAAACTACCAATATCCTTCCTCTTAGCCTTTCAACTGAAGGGAATAAAAGGACAGTTTCCATAATTCAGAGAAAAAAAAAAAAAACAACTGAAAACTAAGGCTTGATATTTTTAAGTAACTGGTTGATTATCACCAGTCATTTCCATCATTCTAAAACAAAAGCTGGCTGTGGTGGCACACACCTGCAATTCCAGCACTCAAGAGGCCTGGGTAGGGGTTATTGCAACTCTGAGGCTAGCCTAGGCCACACAGGGAAACAGTCTCGAACACAACCAATGGAAACAACAATGCCACCAAAACCAAATCAAATCAAAGTACCGTACAAAGAAATAATACAATTTATTACAGCATCTCCTCAGATTCTGGCAATTATGATATTTGGAACACTTTCAAATATGTAGTGTTGTATGAAAGGAGAGAAGGTTAGCACTCCCTTTGACAAGGATGGAAGAGGCCCTGGGGCCTAACAACATGCATATGGTTAAGGCAAATATGTATTTTAGCAGATCTGTGAATAAAATGTATTAGTAACAACCAATTACATAATTCTAATAAAACACGCAGCTGAATACTATTGCTATCAATACAGTATTCATCCTTCCAATAATTTTTAAGTTGAAATATAAAAATCTGTTAAATAAAAGGATGCAAATATTGTTCGCATTTTCAGTATTTTATCGATGTGCTAAAATTGTATTATTTTATTTTCATTTATTTTTTTGTAATTCTAGAGAGCAAACCTGGGGCCTCACATCTTCTAACTGTACTATAGTCTACCACTGAGCACATTATAGCTCAGCCATAAAGCTTTTAATATTATGTCACAACTTTCTTTTCTAATTGACACAGGCTACATAACAGAAAGTCACACTCACAAGCAATCTAGGAAGCTGTATAACATAAACACAATTTTTGTTCCCAGTTTGAGTAATAAAAGCAGTACAGAGCTGCTGCAAAAAAAAAAACCTTAGAATTCCCATACCCATGGATTGGCTCTAGTTTGCATATATTTTTATCATTAATGAAACCTGACATTGTTCTGTGGTAAGACAAAGACTGAAAAACACCAAATAATAATAGCTATGACACAGAAGTGAAAAGCAGATTTCGATGCTGTAAAAATGAACATAGAATTCAGTCAATAGCTGAGGAGGTTACAAACATACCGAGTTAATCTTTCAGTTTAAAAACCTTTCAAACATGTGGGTAAAGTCTCTCCACAACTTTCAAGTTTCGGTTCTTACTACTGGTTTCTAAACACTTGCTTTATCACCTTCTCTGAAGATGAGAATTCATTAGTAGCCATAGGCCTTCATGGAAACATACATCCAAGTAACATGGGTTCAGTGAGTTATATTTAGGACACATATGTACATACAAATATATATATGCAAGTCATAGCAATTAATGAAAAAGAGGCTATGAATCTGAAGGAGAGCAGAGAGGGTGTACAGAAAGGTTTGGAGAGAGAAAAATAAAAGGGAGAAATGTTGCAATTAAATTACAATCTCAAAAATAAAAAACAAGAAAAATATAACACTGAGAAGAAAAAGATTTCCTAGGATTTCACATTTCTCTACAGTGTCAATGAAAAAGTTAAAAACTGGTTTGATTCTGTCCTTTTGTGAGATTTTTTTTTTGGGCGGGGGGCGGGTGTAAGGGTCACACGTAAGTGTCGCACAATGTTGCCCAGGCTGGCCTAGAAACCGTGCACTCAAGCGACACCCTTGCCAATGGTAGCTAAGCCTCTGCTCTGAGTCACCACTCCCACGCCAACATAATTTTCCTTCATTTGTTTATTTTGCGGGGGATAAGGGGCATGTGCGTGGCAAATGTGGAGCTCTCCTTCCACCATGTGGGTTCTGGGGATTCAACATCAGATAACCAGGCTTGGCAATGAGCGCTGTTACCAGCTGAGCCGTCTCACTGGCCCTGAAACAGCCAATTTTAAAAACACTTTTGCAGTTTTTCATGTTCATAAACAAAGCCAAATCTTTTTATAATATCACAACAACTTATTTGCAAAGCTAAGAAGTTAGAAAGTAAATAATTAGTAATGAATATTTCAAAATTCTAGATTCCTACTTCATAATCTTTCTTTTATAGCTGGATCAACACATTTATTTTATGATCATAATGGCCATAATCAGAACTTGGTCTATTTCAATGTCCTACTGCAGCTCTTAAGAAGAAAGGAAATAAGTATATATTTATATATACTGTGCCTACGTAAAACCATGTATCACTCTTAATTACAATAATGCAAAATATCTGAATATTGCTACAACAAAGGAACTTACAGGCAGTTAGGTGTGCACAAAAATGTTTAAAGATTAACATAGTTCTTTTCAAATGTCTATATAGCTACAAAAAAGAAACTTATAGGCAGTTAGATACACACAGAAATGTTCAAAGACTAACATAGTTCCTTTTCTTTTCCTTTTTTCTTTTTTTCCCAAGACGTGATTTCTCTATGCACCCCTGGCTAACTTGTGCTATACACTGGGCAGTGGGTGATGCCAAGTGGGAGCCTGCCTGAGTTTTGTTTTTTAAGATTTATTTATTTACTATGTGTACAGTATTCTTCCTGCATGTACACCTGCATGCCAGAAGAGGGCATCAGATCTCACTACAGATGGTTGTGAGCCACCATGTGGTTGCTGGGAATTGAACTCAGATCCTCCGGAGGAGCAGCCAGTGCTCTTAACCTCTGAGCCATCTCTCCAGCCCCCTGCCTGAGTTTTATACATTTGCTTTCAAATAAGTAAATCAAGGCTTATTCCAATACTTATATATTTACAGAAAATTATGGCAATAATAAATATTTGTGAGGAAAACAAGAATAGAGGCAATAAAAACTGAAAGTCTTAGCACCAACTACAAAGAGGACAGAGCAGCAAGCAGAACTCCAGAGCATTGTGCTTTTCCTTTCACTGCCTCACTCATCTTTATCTCCCAACTATCCCAAAGACACAGGCGGCATCTTGGAGTCATGAGAGTTAACCAATCTGTCAAAGACCAACAGAAGTAATGTTGTTGTAGGTTAAAGTGGAAACCCAGTATAAAGAGCCCAGAGGATAGTAGTGGCTAACGTCACCACATATTACTTTAAAAGGGTTCAAACACTTGGTGTGTCAATTCCCCCCTCTCTCTTTCTCTCTCTCCCACACAGATTAGAAAAACACATTTGTGATCAAACCTAAAAAGCATTTAAAATCTGAGCTGCGGTAGTGGAGGCGGCACGAGGAGCTCTATGAGGCGCACAACTGTATGTGAAACTGTCGTAAAAGCTGATTATCGATGCAGAGAACATTCATATCAGATACTACCATTAATTACCAATACATGAAGAACTAGGCTTTCAAAACACTGAGCGGAAAATGAAGAACACCAACCACACTGTCCCTCCAACAGAAATGAGACAAACTTATGGGCAACAGAAGTAAACAGAAGCAGGGGCCAGAGAGATGGCTCAGTGGTTAAGACATATGCATAAATAAATAAATTTTTAAAAAGGTAAACAGAAGCAACAGATTAGCAGATCTGTGTGAAATAAGCTGTCGTGCACTAAAACAACCTAAGATTCAGACGGTAAAACAAAGGCACCATCTGCATAGTTTGGATGGATAAAGTTTAACATCTAATACAAACTAAACCCTATCTATATCTACTGGTCACTGACGATTATGGGGCAAATCGAGACTGGGCACGTAAGCCCATCAAAGACTACAAACAAGGCAGTTTAACTGCAAAGATCACATTCACTAATTGATAAAATACAAATTAGGTTCTACTTCACATACACTGAAGTACCAAAAATAAGTTTAAATAAACCCAAAAAAGTTATGTGGGTTAAGAAGATAAGCCACAAAGATAAGGGCATGGTGGTACACATCCTTAGCCCCAGCACTGAGGAGATAGAGGCAGGTGGATCTCTGAGTTCAAGGCCAGCCTGGTCTACAGAGATTTAGGGGAGCCAGAACTACACAGAGAAACACTGTCTCGAAAGACATAACAAAACAAACAACAAAGGAAGATCAATCACATTCAGGTCCAGCTATAAAGTGGACACACCAAGACCAAGTTCTCAGCACAAAGAAGATTCATTTGCCCTAGAGGGACAAAGGGCAGAAGATAAGGGATAAAGACAGGAGACAGAGGACAAGAGAAAAGAACAAGGAGGAGGAAAGGGCTATTTGCCTCAGAAGGACAAAGGACCGCACTGCCTCTGTTTGGGAAGACAGAGGCCCAGAACTTTATAAAGGGAAGAGTGGAAGCTCCCATGTTAGGGTTAGTAGTTTGTTTGATTGGGCATGTTAATTAGGTGAGCCAAGGGGGGCTTTTAATTACTGGACTTCAGTACTTTGCTAGCTGGACCTTGGCGGTCAGCCGCAGGAGGAAGTGACCAAATAAGGGACTAGACCTTGGAGGCGCTTTATATAATCTAACAGTTCTTAGCAAGGAGGGGAGGGAAAGGCACAGCCTGTCAGTGCCGTGCTTGTCTGCTGGAGCCCTTCATGTCACAGCAGGGAGGAAAGCTAACTACATTTATGAAATAAAACTAAAAACCAGACCTATGTCCCAATCTTTGAAAAACCTCAGTGAAAGAATTATCTCCTTCATTAATGATTAGTAATTAAAAGCTCTTCAAAACCATCCTGCTGACCTGAAGAGATGGCTCGGCGGTTAAGAGCACTGTCTGCTCTTCCAAAGGTCCTGAGTTCAATTCCCAGCACCCACATGGTGGCTCACAACCATCTGCAGTAAAATCTGATGCCCTCTGCTGTCCTGAGGCACACATGCAGGCAGAACACTGAATAAATAATAAATAAATCTTTAAAAAAATAAAATGTAAAAAAAAAAAAACAACAAACCATCCCGCTGCCCTCTGCTTGTGGTTGTAAATCTGACAAGTTAACAATTCTGGATGGGCAAGGGCACAGACTTGTAAACTTAGCACTTGAGTGGAGACAGGAGGACCAGAACAAGATCATCTCAGCTATACAGTTTAAGAGCAGTCTGGACTAAGAGAGTCTCTGCCTCAAAAAAACAACAACAACAACAACAACAAAAATCTGTTTAAATCATTCATTTTTCTGGTTCCTATGAGGCCTGTGACCAACACTGTTTTATTATTTTTAGCACGGGGTAGCACACAGCAAGTTATCAATAATCAATACACAAAGGAAGAGGTACATGAAGAGGAAGAACAGACTGGTGTGATAAAGGCCAAAACAAAACAAGCAGTTCCCACAAGAAGCCTGCAAAGGTGAGGACTTTCTCCCAGAGCTCCTAGAGGAGGCTGCTAACACCTTGGTTCCTTACTGGTCCCCAGAACTGTGAGCAAACTATTTCTACTACTTTAAGACTCCAAAAGCAGGGCCAGACGCAGTGGTGGATGCCTGTAATCCCAGCACCTGGGAGGCAGAGGCAGACAGACAGATCTCTGTGAGTTCAAGGCCAGCTTGGTCCACAAATCCTGTCCAGAACAGCCAAGGCTCCAAGGCTACAGAGAAACCCTGTCTTG